AAGTGCCTCCATAAAAAAAAAAAAAAAAAAAAATAATCCCATTTGTCCCTTCTGCTTCCTTCCTTTCTGCAACAAGAATACAAGGCCTGGGGCTTAAGCAGTTATCTGGCGACCATGACAAGATCAACTTGGGAACAAAGGCCTGTGTGCTAAGGATTTTGGAGCAAAAAGGCAGGAAAAGCCTAGAGGTACCCTTGAGCTGTTGTTACAGACCTGGAATCTTTGTGATTGAAGTATAACCCCTTCTGCTTAAATCTCTGTAGTGGGGTTTTCTGATATTGCAACTGAATGCAATGTCACTGACACAGCAGCCATCTCTTGTTTTGGCCTGACCAGCACTTACTTTCCTTCTTTGGGGAACATCGTGCTAGTTTTAATTCAGGAAACCACTCTACCCTCACTCTAGGCCGTGGTTCAGGTGGGGCTGCCCTACTCAGTCTCTGGGGGAGTGTCACTCAAGCCTGGCCAATCAGAGTCACAGGGCTTGGGTCAGAGCTAGCACGTGACACTAGTTAGGCCAATAAGCAGCAGCAAAGGGACTCTTGATGCATCAACTGGCCCAGAAGAGAAGTTTTCGTTCACTCTGGTGCTTAGCTGGGGAGACATAACCTGGAGTGGCGGTGGCTTGCCTTTGACACCTTCTAAGGAAAAGCAAGCTGAAAATGAAGCCAATACAGATGAAAACAGAGGTGAGGGGTAGAAAGAGTCCTGATGACTTGGGGACCCACAGTCAGCTGCGCCTAAAGTTAGGGCACACTGTGCTTGCCAGTTATTTGAGCTAACACATTCTTGCTGGCTAAGAGAATCCTGGCTAATGCAAACTGAGGCCAAGAGAACAGTCCATTTATTAGGCTGCAAAGGACCCCACGGCCTCACGCAGGGAGAGCCCTGGGCCCGGGAGTTTTTCAACCGCACTCCTTGGTGCTGCTAGGGTCAGCTTCACCTCCCCACCCACACAACAGCCCCACTCACGCCTGTGATCTTCTTCTTGCACTTGGCACAGCTGGGTGCGTAGCGCACGTCATAGCAGGGGGGGCAGAAGATAGCACCCTTCTCCTCAAAGAAGCCCCCCTCTTCCAGGACCGTCCCACACTGGCTGCACACAAACTCCTCGGGGTGGTATGCGTGGCCCAGCGCCACCAGGTAGCGGCCCCTGAGGCAGAGGTAAGGGCAGTGAGAAGGACTGTATACAAATGAGGTGGGGGCTCCTGGCTGAGCCCAAATGAACACCTCTTCTGAAGCCCGGAAGGGGAAGTTCATCCTCCCCATTTCCCAAAGAGGGGAGAAAATAGGCTTGGGAGGTGACTTGCTCAAGGTCACACAACAAAGATAATGAAGCTGCATTGCTTTGTGACAGGATATGAGGAAATGGGGCAGTGTTGGGACAAGGAGGAGAGTTATACGGTGTGGGGCTGCTGACCTGGGCCTAATGAAATAAACCCAAGTAACTGAAGCCCGGAGGGCAGGATGTCCAGTGGGCCCATGAGCCCTGAAGGCCAGGGAGCACCTAAGCCAAACCTGGTGCCCACCTTGTCTTGCTTGCCTGTTCCATCTGGCCTGGGGAAGGGCCCACAGATAATGGGGGTGCTCGGCAGCACCTCAGAGCTGAAAGGAGTTGAGAGCGGGGATGGGGCTGGGAACTAGGAAGGCTTCAGAATCTGGTACACTGACTCTGGGGGCTGTGTGACCCTGCTGGGTCCCAGGGAGCAGTGAAGAGAAGGAAAGGCCTCTGGCTTGTCTCCTCTGAGAGCAGAGGCTTAGCAGAGTGAGACTGAGCAAGCAGCGGGGGAGAGAAAGACAGAGGGGCTGAGAGGGGCAGGCCCTTCCTTGCCCAAGAGCAGCAAGTCTAGAGGTGCTGCTCTGATGCGTCATTGGTACTTCCTCCATTTCACTGGGGGAAAACACTGATAAAGGCTAAAGGCGGAAGGAGTGTAAGATTCAGAATCTGAGGATCCAGCCAGGTCCCTACCCCCACTCCAACTGGGAACTGAATCCTTATCCTCCTGTAGTGGCAGCTGAGATGAGTGGGGAGACAGATGGGGGAGCAGAGGTTGGAAAGACACGAGGATCAGGCATCAGGACAGGAACAGCCAGGGTAGTAAAGAAACAGGACCACCCACCGGATGACCTTGTGGCACTGGTGGCACACGGGAGTCTTGCCATTGCTGCCACCGCACCCTCCTGGGCCCCCTCCAGCGGCCGCCTGCACGATGGAGGTGCGGTTCTGCAGAGGCGTGGGTGTGGCGGGCTGGCTGTGCCGGGTCATCACTGTGCTCGTCTTGTCTGGGGCATAGCGCTCGGCAAATGCAGGGTCCACGGCCCAGGGTGGGCGGCTGGTGGGGCTGGGGGTGGTAGGGCCTGCCAGGGCCAAGGAAAGTGGCTCCAGGGGGGTACCCAGGGACCCAAAAGGACAGGGGGTAGAGCCCAAGGCAGCTTGGAGGAACCCGCCACCCCCATGCCCCTGAGGCTACCCACCCCTCCCCAGGCCCAAGCCCACTATCTCACCAGGCCAGGGTTCCTGGGGTGTAGCTGAGGCTGGGACTGGGGCTTCTGTCCTGGGCACCTGGCTGTAAGATCTGCCATTCAAGGCCCTGCACAGCTGGGGCACCTAACCTGGCCCCACCTCTCAACCTTGGTCCTGCTGGGCCCCGTGGGAGATGCCTAGGTGCATGAGAGCTGCTGGGCTGGACTCCAGGTCCCACTGGGGATGGGTAAGGCAGCTTCTCCTAACCAGGTTCCAGTGGTCTGTTGTACAAGGCTGGAAGGTGGCACAGGGCTCTTGCTTCTGGGACAGCTCTTGGGGCTCCCTCATCCTGACATCCAGCTCTGATGGCAGGGTCCTCTTTGCCAGGTACCCCCTCCCACTGAGACCCCTGCTGACAGGGCCCACACTGGGTCTGAACCATCTAACATGCCCACACCAAAAATACAAACCCAGCCCACAAAGACAGAAAACAGAGACAGAGAAAGCAAGGCTGAGAGTGTTTATTTCCATGCCTGAGCCAGCACAGACCTGGCAGACAGCAGTATCAGAGGGCAAAGAGGGAAGGCAGTGGCAGACGAAGCCAGGCTTTGTGCCAGGCGGGCAGCCAGAGCCAGGCCCGCAGGAGGCTCAGTCCAGGGGCAGGAAAGGGATGAGTCAGGGTGGCAGAAGCTAGAGGCACCAGGGGGCGCTCTGGGCAGCAGGGACAGAGAGAGAGGGAGGCAGAGAGGGCAGCCGCCGGCGAGCGCCGCGCTACGACTGCACGTTGAGCACGTGGGCAGAGCGCTGGTGGTGCCAGTCCCGGAGGCGGGTGTAGCGTGGGCTCTGTAGCTCCAGGACATACTTTTCCCTGAGGAGTAGAGAGAGAAGGAGGAGGAAGTGAAAGGAAGGAGAGATGGAAGGGAGGAAGGGAGGGAGGAAGGAAGGAAGGAAGGAAGGAAAGGAGAATGGAGGGCCCTGGCTGGGGAACCCCAGGAGCACACACAGGATGGTAGCTGGAATGAGAGAGGCAGGAGATAAAAAAGGGGCTGGTGTCCATCCTCTTACCTTGACTTCTTCAGGTGCTCCTCATCCGGGTCTTGCACTGAGAGGGCAGAGGCAGGCATTGACCAAGAGAAGACATAAGGCTACCCCAGCCCTGAGCCCTGGCAGAGGGTTATAAGGTGCCGAATGGGCTCCGGCTAAGCCCAGGCCTGGGCTGGGGGCCAGGAGGAGAGTCTGCCCTGCCCTGGTCTGCCACTTACTGAACTCGGTGCCTGTGAGGTGGGCGAGAATGCGGAAAGAACGGGACTGGCCTGTCCCAGGCCGTGGCCGCCAGTCTTCCGTGTCCTCCATCAGCCGCTGCTTGCTGGCATCTGGGACCAGCGGTCGGAGCGGCTGTCTGTGGGGAGGGTGTGGCTCAGAACCTCATGCTGGGGGTGGGCAGCAGGGCGGCCCCTCCCTGGAATTGGTCCATGTGGGCTATGGTGATGGGAGAGGAGGGAACGCAAGGCCAGGACCCAGCTGGGTGGATGGGGATGGGTAGACGGGTAGATAGGTGAGAGGGGAGGAGGGCAACCAGGGCGAGAGGAAGCCAAGGTGGGGAGGGGCCACTGCCCAGAGTGCCAACAGGAAGGAAGAGAGGGACAGGCAGAGGGGGCTCACTGACTTGTCAGGGGTCTGCACCTGTGAAGAAAATAGACAGATGGGACAGATAAAGGAACAAAGGGACAGACACAGGGGAAGAAGATGGCAAGAGGTCAGAGTGGCTGAGGGCAAGGCTGCACGGAGTGTCTGGGGCTCAATGGGCCCAACACCACACCCCAACCCTGGGCCGCGGGAGGAGGACTGCTGCCTGGCTCCAGCCCCCAAGAGGGCAGTGCCTGGGCAGGAGCCACACCCTAGAAGGGGCCCTGCGCCTGCAGCCCCTGACCCTGCCGCCAGGGGCCGCTGCCGCACGGTGCTGGCAGGACTCTGGTGCAGAGCAGACAGAGCAGCAGCGGGCGGACAAACAGATGGCGTGGGCGGTGGGAAGGCAGGACGTACCCATTCTGCTGTAGGGTGCTGTCAGAGGGCGGGGGTGCCCCGAAGGGCCGGGCTGTCTTGTTGAGGGAAGCGCTGGGTGCAAAGGTGTACCGCGGGGGGTCCGTGGCAGGGGCCAGGGCCTGGGTGGAGACAGAGCCGGGCAGCGGGTGGGAGGGAGGGGAGCTGGGCTCGAGTTGGAATGGGAAGGAGAGGGGCACCCCGCTGGCGCCTCTGAGAGGACAGCTGCGCTCCAGCCCCGCCTCTGCACATCTGGATGAGGCTTGGGGGAGGGGGCGACTCGGGTTTCAAGGGGCCCACTTGGGAGTGATGAACGCAGCCCACAGTGCAGCCCACAGTGCAGCTCACAGCGCAGGAGGCAGCATGGACAAACGTGCAGACGTGCATGGTGCCTGGACCGTGCGGCAGCCTCCGACTCAACTCCCAGTTCCCCACACTCTCCCTGGTGCCAGCTTTGGCCCCCTACTCCCAGCCAGGGATGTGGGGTACTGAGGTTGTACCCAACAGGGCAGTCCAATCCCACCCCGCCCACTGTGGGGGGAGAAGGGGGGCTGTTGCCTACCTTCTGCGGTTTGCTCTGAGCCAGCTGGGCCCTAGAAAAGAAGGGGAAAGAATGACAGCAGGCCAAGTCTGAGGATTCCTCCACTATCAATGGGGACCAGAGCCCACATACCTGCTGAGACCCAGGCTGAGGCGTTCTCCGCAGGCTCGGATCTTGTTCTGGGCTTCGATGTGTGTGAGGCCCCCTGCATTCTCACCATCAATGCTCAGCACCCAGTCGCCCACTGCTAGGCCAGCCTGTGCAGCTTTGCCTCCAGGAGTGAGCTGTGGGGAGATGGAGGGTCACTGGGGCGCAAGGATACAGACCAAGCTGAGGTCAGAAGTCAACATGCCTAAGTTGCCCCACCTCCAGGACCCAGAGGCTTCTTTATTCAGCAATATTCTGGGCAGCTGCTAGGTACTAAAGCCATCTGGGAGGGGTGGGGCTTACCTGAGTTTCACAAGCATCCTGCTTATTTAGTCACCTCCATGACCCTTCCCATAATCCAGAAACTGCTATGTCGTCAACAAGCAGCCACCCTCAGGCTAAACCCCAAGCTTCTCAGCTCCAACAACAGCTGGCCTCTTGCTCAGGGTGTTCCACCCACCAGACATACCCTTTTGACTTATGTGTAGTTAAGTTCCTCCCCCACAGCCCTGGGCGCTCACTGTCCTGGGGCCATCTGCCGTGATCTGCCAGGAGCCTGAGAGTCAGGAATAGGCCCCATCATCTCCAGCTTCCCAGTGAACAGTGCCTGCTTAAAGGGGGCCCACAGTGTCAGCTGGGGGCTACTTGGCTGTAAATGACTGCCACCCCAAGGCTTCATCTGCCACATCACCCTCTCCCCAACCTTTTAGGCTCTGGTTGGGGATCTCCGGTTACTGTGGCAAATGAGGGGCAATAGTAGGTTGAAAGGAATGGTCACCACTAGCGTGAGTGGAGACCCTAAGGGATGATTTCTGGGACGTGGTGGGCCTTGGGACAGGAGTGGGACATGCTGCCCAGAGGGTGAGAGAATCCATTTATGAAGGCCTGAAGGCTGGGGAAGGAACTGGGACTGGGCCTTGCGGTTAGGAGGGGCCATTAGCAGTCTGAAGGCCTGGGGCGGGGTTATCTCCCAGGTCCTTGATAGCCATTTCCCTGACAAACCCTACTGGGCCCTTCCAGCACTCCGGTTCAATGCCTGGCCCTCTGACAAAGGGCCTGACAGTTGAGCAGGTTTCTGTGGGGAAGTGATGGAAGGAAGATTCGAACTTAACAGCTGGGTTTAGGGGGTGCAGTCTGCTCACAGCTCCAGGAGGCTCCTCAGGTGGGCCTGTGTGCAGACTGAGTTGAAGCAGTGAGGGGGAGGCGGAGGAACCAGAGGCAGATGACAGCACTGGGGCAAGGAGAGAGAGATGGGATTGACAGCTCTATTTCATGCTTGGGAGGTTGGAAGGGTAAGACACTGGGCACTGGGTGGCTTGTTCTTCACCTGCTAAATAGCAAGAATATGGCTCACATTTATCAAGCACCTAGTATTGCCACATACTGACACAGAATCCTCCAACAATCCTATGGACTAGTCTGGGGTTATATCCATTTTACACATTCTGGGAAATCTGCCCAGCTAGCAAGAGGTAGGGCCTGACCCTAAGGCTCTACTATACCAGGCCACCTCTGCTGAAGGTTTGGGCCCAACTTGGAGGTCAGTCTACCTGGAAAGACCCCTTGACCCTCTGGCTGGATTTGGGGCCTGGATCCCTTATCTCATTTTTAGTTCAATCTAACTCCTTATAATGGGCATGAGGAAGTGACACCCTTGAGAAGAAGTGACTTACTCAAGGTTATGGTGAGTCAGTAGAAGGGAAACCTGGTTTAGCCACTCCCTATCCAGAGGGGTGGCTTCTAGGGGAGGAGGGGGCGCTGAGCCTGAGGTGGGTCTTGGGGTGGGCAGGAGCAGCTGGCTTCCAGAGAGGGGGTGGGGAGTTGGGACTACTCTCTTCCCAGGAGTGGGAGTGAGGATGACAGGAAGCACAGGAGGGATAGAGGAGTGGTCAGAGGGGTGGAGAGAAAAGCAGGAGATGGGAGGGCAGGAAGAGGGGGTGGCTGGAGAGAGAAGCAAGGAGGCCTGAGGGACCGAGGGGGAAAAAGCCAGGGGGGTGGACATTACATGGGGTGGGTGGGGGGGTGAGTCAGCTTGAGGGCTCCACTGAGCAGCCCAACCCCCCAGTCCCAGACGTTACCTCATCTCCCAGGCCTGGGCCCACAGCCAGACCTAGCCCCTCCTTCCTCCCTCCATGCTAGGGTCAGGGGAGAGGGAGAGGGCCCACCCAGCTCATAAAAGACCACCCCATCCACCCACCCACTAGGGCCCAGGTCCAACTCCAGGGCTGTGTTCAGATGGTGGCCCCACCCATATGCTGGGGCTGCTGACCAGAGGACCAAGAGTGCCCCCAAGAGGCCACATCCGAAAATCCATCCCCCAGGCTACTACGATGTTGCCCATCCCCTCCAAAGAAAAAAACGGAGGCTCAGAGGCCAGCCAAGACCTATGGCTCCCCAGTCACACTGGCCAGCACTTTCCCAGGGAGGGGGAGATAGGGTAGGTGTTCAGGGCTGGCAAGGCTTGAAGACTATATAGGGGTGGGTGGGTGTGGTGGGGGCACCACTGCCCTTAGCTATTCTGATGGCAGGGCAGTTTCCAGGGGAAACTCTTGGAAAAGTCCCTGGGAAAAACGGTGACCGCCTCCCTGCCCTGGCTACCAAGCCCAACTCCCACAGACAGACTCCGCCTTGGGGCCCCTCAGGCTGGGCAGTGCCTGGATAACCTTCTGGCCCCTCGTGGCTGTGCTTGAAGCCCTGGGCTTCCTGCCAACAGCTGCCTGCGCACTAGGCACCTGGGTGGGCCTCTCTGGACAGGCAGATGTGCAGACAGGAAGTTCCCACCTTCTCCTAGCCCCCAGACCAGTCAGAAACACTAGCCCAAAGGCCGGTCTCACTGTCTCTGGGCAGGCAGTTTGTTCTCTGTATCCCACAGCTACCCTACAGCTGGAGCCATGGCCTGGTGGTCACCAGGTGAGGAACCCACTGATGGGGTTCAGGGGTTCAGCCCTAGGCCAGCCTTTTTTGGCTCTGCAGACTCCAGCCACCAGTTGGCAATCTCAGTGTGGGGCTGCATTTTTGGGCTTATAAGGCAATCCCCCTGCCACAGAGAGGAGCCAGCCCCCAGCTCCGCCCCCACGATGGCAGGCTCTCAGAACTGAAGTCAGAGCCTTAGACCTCATTCCACACCCCCTTGGGGTCAAAGGCCACTGCACTCTGAATGTGACCAGTGGATGGGGATGGAGGTCCTCACATAGGCTGGGGAAACCCCCACCCAAGTTCTACTCCCCAAAACTGCAACCATCCCAGTGCCTGAATTCTAATCCTAGCTTGACCATGGAATCTGGGAATGAGCCCTTCCCACCTCTCAGCCCTGAGGTCCCTCATCTGGAAAAAAGGATAATGGCTATATCCCAGGTGGCGATGACGTTGAAGTGAGATCCTACAGTCAAAGTGCCCTGTTTGGGGCTGGGCCCCAAGTACTGCTCCCACACACAGCTTAGACACTTCCTAGAGACCTTGGTGCCCCTCCTGCAGAAAGTTCAGCCCCAGGACCTCAGAGGTGGTTCCAGGAGCTTTGTGGAATGGCACCAGTTACAAAGCAGCGCTAGAGAAGTGTTGGAACTCCTCTCCCAGTATCCTAATTGAGAGTCCTTGAGGCAGGTGTCCCTCACACCTCTGGATCTGGGTACCTCCTGGCCTATTGGCCTTGGCTCACTCCTGCTCAGACTCACCACCCCCCAGGCCGGAGCACCCACAGACTCCTGGAGGAGCCCCTCCCCCAACCTAGGCTTACCCGGGAGATGGAGAGGGGCACATTGAAGTCCTTGCCTCCCTGTAGCCGAAAGCCCCAAGGTGCTGGCCCCTCTAGCACCACCTTGAAGGAATCCATGGTGCCTGCTCATGAAAGGAGAGAAGGGTGAATGGCTGGTATGGTGGGTGCACAGCTTGGTACACTGGGCTGGGACTGGTGCCAGGCAGGCAAGGGGCAGATGCTGAGCACTCCCAGGTCACAGGTAGGCAGGTACCTTGTCAGGTTTGGCTGGGCTGTTGGTTGGCAGATCTCACTTTGGAAAAGACAGGGGCAACCCCCCTCTTCCAGAGACTGGGAAGGTGAGGGGAGCCCGTATCCAGGCTTGAAGTTCTTTTCATCCAGGAGAAGGCAGACTTAATGTGACACGGCCACCCCACAAGCCAGTCTTCAGGCTCCAGCAGCGGGGTGGGTCAGGGGCCGTCGCTTGTCTCCCCCGCCCCCAGATCCCAGCAGGCAGGCCGCGGCTGGAGCCTGCTCGGACTATATAAGGCGTGTAAGCTGACACTGTGCAGCGAGCCAGTGGAGGAAGCACCCAGGGGCTCGGGACTCGAGGGGGAGGGGAGAGAGGCTGCTGGAGCGTGTTCTAGCCATTCGGGTACGGATCGAGGCTGCCGGAAGCCAGGGCAGGACCCCTGGACGTTGGTGGGGACTGGACAGGGGTGCGGCCCCTACAGAGATCGGTGGGGGTTGGGTCCCCAAGGAGTGGCCAGGAAGGGGATTCGAATCTGGGTAGTGCCTCCCTCACAGGACTGCTACCAACTAGACGTGACTCAGTTTCCCTCTGGTCCACCCCCGCCGGGGCCCCCTGTATTGGTTAAATCCCGGGGGCAGGAAGCAGCTCAGGCGCCAATCGGCCTCGCGGCAGCCGGCTTCACCGCAAGGAGGCGGAGGCGGAGGCGGGGTCAGGGGCAGGGGCCCCGGCCCGCGAGAGGAAGCTCAGCGCTGGCCAAGACCCCTAATGCCCTCTTTGGTCCCCAGCAGCTCCCTGCCCCCCAGCTGGCCCAACCGAGACCCCCCACACACGGTCGCTAGTACCTGCTCGGCCCCGCCGGGGCGCTGCTCGCGGCGGACTCCAAAGAACCGCGTTGAGATCGGCCGCCGTACTCTCACTCCGCCTCCGCGGCAGCCATCCGCTTTGAGCCTGCGGAAAGGGGCGGTGCCCAAGGCCACGGCCCGTCAAGGCCACGCCCACTAGCGGCCTCTCCACCGGTGGGAGCCCCACCCAATCCTTCCGGCCCGCCCAATCACGAAGTTCCATCGCGCTTTGAGCTGGAAAGCACGGCCCTCCCGGGGGTCCCCTCTGTGAAGCAGAGCCTGGGCGGTGTCTGGATGGGACCTGGGCGGGGTATGGGCGGAGTGTGGCTTAGCAACGCCGTTCGCACAGCTCTTTGCTTTTCCCTCCCTCCAAGAGAAAAGAAAACAGCCTTCGGAAACAATTGTCTCTGAACCTAAATTTCCTCCTCGGAGAAATGGAACAATAGTACCCGCTTCACTGGGCCTCTGTGAAGACAGGCATTGTTTGGCGTAAGGCTCAGCCATCAGCGGCTCCAGAATTTCTAAATCGGAGGGAGTTGGTGGGGGCCACACATCGAGGCGGGGTAGAGGGGGCAGGGGAACTCGAAGCTAGGTTTGCAGAACACTGACTCATGGAAGGCAGAAAATAAGGGCAGGAGAGGACGGAAGTGGAGGGGGCCCTTGGCTGGGCCTCGAGCCTGAACTTCCCACCCACTCGTTCCCACCCACTGACCTCGGCAGTCAGCAGCCGCTGCCCTGCGACCACAGCTCAGCGTCGACCCCACAGTTGAGATGTGCTCTGTCCTCGTACTCCGTTCCAGTTGGAGTGTCAGAGTCCCCACTTTGCTCCCCACTCCTGCTCAGCCCGGACGTCTAGCGCACGCAGAGGGGGAAATTGAGCAGGGACGGGAGTATGCGGCTGAGTGAACGGGTTAGCTGCTAAGACATGGCCGCTTCTCTTCGCCCCCTTCTGCCATCAACACATTCCCCCCTCTTCTGCATCATTCCCCTCACTACACGAACTGCTGTAAGAGTCTCCTGTTTAAAGAAATCCTCTCGACCCCACCTCCCTCTCCAGTTATGGCTCTTTTTTTCTACTCCCCTTGAGAATGAAATTCCTCAAAGGAGTTGTCTGTCGCCCTGTCTCGATTTGCTTTCCTCCCGGTTCTCTCTTGAACCCACTCCAGTCAGGCACTTGCCCCCCGCCCCCCACCCCACGCCTCCGGTCTTCTTGATTAATTCCCTCTTATCAGGTCTCAGTGACCTCTGAGTTATCACATCAATGGTGCTTTCTCAGCTTTCCTCTGACTCTACCTAGGAACAGCACTGGTCCAGTCACACTCCCTCATTCCCGGCCTCATGCCTCCTCTTGCACCACCGTTGCTCCTTAAACTCCTCCTTGGGAGACTCCTCATCTGCCTTCTAACTTGGCCCTTTTTCAGCTGTACACTCACTTTGAGACCCCACCTTGTTCTGTGGCTGGCTGGCTTGCTCTCTTTTCTTCCTTCCTTCCTTCCTTCCTTCCTTCCTTCCTTCCTTCCTTCCTTCCTTCCTTCCTTCCTTTCTTTTTTTTTTCTTTCTCTTTCTCTCTTTCTTTATCCTGTGGCTTTCAATAACACCTATCTATATCCATGGACTTCCAAGTTATATGTCCAGCTCTGATCCCCAACACAAGAACTCAAGACTTGAATATACAACCACTTGTCCAACCCCTACTTGGATGTCATATCTCAAATAATCATGCCCCAATTTAAACCTGTGGTTTTCCCACCTCCTTAACTCCTTCCTCACCTTAGTAAATGGCACCACCATTTATCTGCCTAGTCCAGTAAAAACTATGAAGTTTTCTTTTTTTTCTCTTCTCTGTCATAGTCCAGATTCTGAAAATTCCACCTGTGGAATATATTCCACATCTGGCCACTACTGCCACCATTGTTGCTGCCACTCGTCTTGTGCCAGGACACCTTAACAGTCAAGAATCTTTTCCACACGGCAGCCAAAGTGACATTTTTTAAAGCAGAAATCATTATACCACATCACCCTCAGCTTTTAGCATTCTGGTAGGCTCATGCTGCACCTAAAATAAAACTAAAGTCCTTAAGATGCATATGACACTAATAAACTGGTTCTACCTTTCACCACTCTCTTCTCTCGCTCCACTCCAGCCACTCTGGCCTCCTCACTGTTCCTCCAACACGGTGAGCATATTCTTGCCTCAGGGTCTTTGCACTTGAGGCTCCTGCTTGAAACAGTGTTCCCCAGATATGTAAACAACAGGCTCTCTCACTTTGTTCAGGTCTCTGCTCAGATGTTGCCTCTGAGGGGCCTTCACTGATCATGCTTTTTAAAACAGCAGCCCCCTGACACCTCACTGGCATCCTTTATCCTGCTTTATTTTTCCCATGACACTTATTACCATCAACATCATATTAAGATTTTGTTTCTTTATTATCCTTTGTTCCCATTAGAATGTTAGTCCCATGAGATCAGGGGCTTGTATGTCTCGTCCACCATTTTCCCAGTGGGAATGAAGGAAAGACTGAGAGAGTGAACGGCAAATGAGCAAAGGAAGAAGGGGTAGGCTGGGGTCCTGGCAGTCCTCCAGCCTAGAGGACCCCAGGGTCTGGTTTCTTGGGTCTGCGCAAGGCTCAGGCCTAGATGGAGCCCTGAGAGCTCCCTGCATAGGCAGCCCCTGCATAAGAACAGGCCCCAAGCTAGGACACAGTGCCTCCTGGTGGCCAGGACGACTGTAGCTCCAGGGCAAATCCCCTAAAGCATCTGTTCCCACCCAGCTTTTTTGGCACCAGGGACCTGAGCTCCTATGAGACTCTAATGCCTGATGGTCTGATGGGGAGCTGAGGCGGTGATGCTAGCTCTGGGAAGCGGTCGTAATACAGATGAAGCTTCGCTCACTTGCCAGCCGCTCACTTTCGGTTGTGTGGCCTGGTTCCTAACAGGCCACGGACCAGTACTGGTCTGCGGCTCCGGGGATGAGAACACTTGCCCTAAAGTCCTGGAAATTTCCAAACTCTTCCAGGCTATTTGGAACCTCACAGCAACTGCCATGAACAAAAAGGCTTAGATTTATAATAAATGAAAGCACACCCTATTGGGTACCTAGAGTTCTGGATCCCAGTTCTGGCTACGTCCTTGACTCTTTGAGTAACCTCCAATGTGAACTGGGACTTGCTGAGCTGGTGGAGGGGTCCCTGCTGCAGCAACCCTGACTGGAAGCCTCCTGGTTTCACCTTGTTCTATGGCGGGCAGCCTGATCGCACATGGGAAGACATTACCATCAAGAGCATCCATAAGTGGGGCCAAAATCTGCCTCCTTGTGGTTCTAACCTCCTTCCAGGCCTCGCCCTCCGTGGCCACAGACACCCTGGGACAGCACTGTGCAGAGCTGCCTCCCCTTAACCCCCCTTCACACATGATATTTGGAGATGAATCTTAGACCCCCAAAGCCTAACACTGTCATACTCTTAAATCCAGAGCCCGTGGGAGAGGTCTGAGTTGAAGATGTGCCTTTGGTCTGTGAGACGTGGAGACAGGATTGGCTCACTTAGGGCCATGGGTCTCAACCCTGGACACACACTGCAATCACTGGGGAATTGAAGAAATGGCCCTGCTGGATTGAAGCCCCAGCCCCTGGGTGTGGGCCTAGGCATGGGCAGTTTTTAAAGGCTCCCAGTTGATTCCGTGTGCAGCCAGGGTTGAACCATACTGTGTCTGAGGCCAAGAGTCCCAAGTGGAACTCGGGCAGAAGAGGCGAGAAACCAAGAAAGACAGTGTGTCATATCAAGGAGAGATGTGTGCTACTGAGAAGTCAGAAGAGTCCAGGTCACAGAGGGAACCTGAGTTGCTTTGTTTTGGGGCACAGGGAGGTTGCTGATCTCCATAAGAGCAATGGAATGGCATAGTGAGTACAACTGGGAGACTGGAATTAGTGAAGGGAGAATGGAAGGTGACAAAGTGGAAATGAGAGTAATCAATGGCTCTTTTGAGGACTTTCTATGTGAAGAGGAACAGAGAAGTGGGAAGGTGCTGAAGGAGAATTTGAGGTCAAGGGAAGGTTTCTTTTAAAGATGTGACTTATGAACATGGTTCCATAGTGTAGCAGTTAGCATGTCTGCTTTATATGCAGAAGGTCCTGGGTTCGCGTCCCAGTGGAACCACGGTCCATGGTTTACGGCCATGCCACCCTGAATAAGCCCGATGTCTGATCTCAGAAGCTAAGCAGGGTCGGGCCTGGTTAGTACTTAGATGGTACTGTAGTACTGTAGGCATAAATAATAACAGTAAGAAAAATAAAATAAAGATGTGACTTTACAGAATTTGTTGATGTGGCTGGAAATGATGTAACAATGGAATTAATGGGTCGGGGAGAGAGGGGACAGCTCCGTTTGCCAAGCTAGCTGTGAGGAGGCGAGAGAAGCTGGGGTCAGTACGAATGTCTGGGAAATAGACACTACTTCCGATGTAGGTCAGGAAGGAGATACAGGAGTGCTTGCAGGTGAGGTGGAGGGAGGTGGAGGTTGTTCACTGAGGGTCACTATTTGACGGGATCTCTGCAAGGTGAGGATGGGCAGGGATGGAGCGGAGAAGGTATGAAGGTCTTGGGGAGGAGAAAAGCAGTGACTCTGAGATGCAAGATCTCTGGGCAGCATGGAGAGCCTGCCTGTGTGAGGTTTGAGATGGTACTAGTAAAAAGAACGCGATCAGCCCGGTTACGTGAATTTCTCTGGCCATGGGCAGCTGCCAGGCACAGAGGAGGGCTGGGTCTGCCCAAAGCAGGGGCTCTGCTGGACAAATAAGATAGAAAGAGAAAGGAGTGTGTGGGGGGTGACTGCATTGGTGGAGTGCAGAATCTAAGTGAGACAAGGACGGAACCGTGGACAGCAGCTGTGCAGACAGTGAGAAAAAGGTCAGTGTAGTTCCTGGCAGCTGGGGAGGCACCATATGTGCTATGCTAGAGGAAGGAGGCTGGAAGGAGAGGAGGAGGGGGCCAGAGGCAGATGCTTGGAAATAAAATTGTGTCACTGTGAAGCGGCAATAGAGTGTCACTGTCATGAAGATGAGGTCCAGGATGTGCCAAGGGTGTGGGCAGCTGAGGCAGAGTTGTCGCCAAGGAGCCAGTAGGTTAGGTCCTCATAGGTGTGATGCTTGTGTACATGGAGGCACCAGGGATAGTGAGAGGAGTAGCATGAGGGGAGGACAGTAAGGCAAGCATTAAAGTCTTCATGAGACTTGCTTATCTCCCTGTGGGACTTAGGCTCCTTGAATCTGGCCATGTCTCCAAGGCAGGTGGTAAAACACGCAGTAGAAATTGAATGAATGCATGCCCGGTGTGTAATTTGATCTTTAGCCTTGATAGCTGAGGAACCTGACACCAAGGGTTCCCCAGAGCATCTGCACAGCTATTCGTCTCAGCAGAGAGCAGGGGTTTTGGGTGCACAAGTCTTTGAAGTTTCTTCCACCTGCCCCTCCCCCCACCTCCTCCCTAGCTCAGGCTCCCCAGTCTGTAGTTTGGGGCCCAAATTCAGCCTCTGCACTGCTCCTTCCCTGGTCTGATTGTCTTTTCAAGCTCATTGCAGGACCGTCAGGCATCTCACACTCAGCCGCCAACTCCACATCAGGCCTTTGGAGCCTCTGTGTACACACTCTTCCCTTGGGCTCTGGACTACCATGACCACCCTTGGCCCGGACAGCTCTGGGGCTCCCTGCCTGCCCAGTGTAGCTCTGCCTGCCCTTCACTCTCCATCCTTCCAGAGGGCGCCCTTCCCACAAATGAGCCTCACTCTTCCTCTGCCTGACTGTCCGACTCATTTCTGCTGCACATGGAGTCTTATTATCTTGCCTGCGTGCTGGAGTGGATTTGAGCCCACTGGTAGTAGAGATCAGGTCCAGGTCATCCATGTCCCTAGAACTCAGCAGAGGGCATTGCTGTTTGTTCCAACACATGTGCAGAAGGGTCTGTGTGCCTGTGCGAACCCCAAGTGCACTATCAGGAGCTGAAGTGAGGAGGTGCGGGCTGTGGGCCACAAGGCAGGACCAAGAAGAGAGCTGGAGGCTTTATTCTCAGCAGACCTATACACTACACACTAGGGGGCCAGCAAGTCTCCTGAGGGGGCCTCCTCAGGCCACCTGCTGTGTCCCGGAAGGCCAGAGTGGATGCAGGGGTGTGTCCCCAGATGTCCATTGTTTGCCTGCCCTCTTGTCCCATGCTAAGGCACACCAGGTGCTCAGGGCCTATCGCAGGGGGCTGGGCCCTTCTTCCGCTCACGGCTCAGAAGTGTCACCAGCTTGGCCTTGAAGCCCGTATGAGTCCCAGGGCGGATGGAGCCCCCGGACTCTTCATCGTTGTCGCCCAGCTCCAGCTCCAGCAGCCGTCGGTACTGGGCCTCCAGGCTGGTGTCATGGGCCGGGCTGGGCCAGCCCAGGTCCTCGCTGTTGTGGTAGATGGGGCTGGCTGGGGGGCTACGGCTGCTGGGGCCCTCCTGCGCAGGGATCCTGAGGTCGGGCGGTGCATGGCCAGCCTCCAACGCACACAGGTTCTCGTAGAGGTGCTCGGCGGTGCCTGGGGGCACACTGGCCCGCTTGCACACAGCTGCGTACAGCCCGGACTCGGTGGGCAGAGGGGGCAGGCTCTGCGGCCCAGCCTCCGCCAGGTGCGCCCTCTGGGAGCTGGGTGGCTCGGGCCCTGGGGGTACCTCCCAAAGCTCCCCAGGAGGGTCCAAGGTGGGCAGGGAGGTGGCCCGTGGAAGGGGGCAGGGTCGGGGCCCCACCAGTTCAGGCAGCCGCTCCCGCTGGCGGGCAATGGCAGCAGCCACGATCCCACACAGGTCTCGGGCTCGGGGGCTGCTGAAGGCAAAGAGGCCCTCGCCTGAGTCACAGCGGCGGCCGGCTTCGAAGGAGAACACACCCTGGGCACAGGTGACATGGGTGGGTCAGCAGTCAAGAGGCCACCTGCTACCCCCACTCCCTGCCAGCCCAGCACCTCACCTTGTCAGAGCCGAACTTGCGCAGGAAGTGGTAAGGCCAGGTGTAGAGGGCCTGTGAGCTGGCAGGCTCGCTTAGCTTGATGGCATCTTGGCCCAGCAGCAGGACATAGGGCCCCTTCAGCTGGCAGCGGGCCGCAGCCTCGGTCCTCTGTGCCACCACTGGAAACTCCCCCACTGCAGGCAGAGGGCACAGCCATCATGGGTCTTCCAGAGGTCACAGTCCCGGATGTGGTGGCACTGAGGCTGCCCCTGCACCCCTCTGACTCACCTTCCTGCCAGGAGGAGTAGATGGAATTCTCCTCCATGGGAACCAGGCCCCGCTTGGGAGCTTCCGCCTCCCCTGGTCCGGAGGAGCTCTCCCCTGTACCCTGAGGAATGGGCCAAGGTCAGAGGTTAGAGTCATCTCCACTTCCTTCCTGCATCTTTTTCAAAAAAAAGATGCTGTGACAAGCAAGTGCACCAGTCCCAGCTTTGCGTCTGACAATACTGCATGACCCTGGGCACCCCTCTGAGCCTGTATCCCCTCTACAATACCCCCTGCTTCCCCTGGAGCGTGCTGAGAGCCACAAAGCAGAGGCACATAATAGGATGGCCACCTTGCCCTAGTACTAGGCCAGGGACCAGGTCGACCCATGTGTCCCCCATAGCTTAGAGCAGTGAAGGGGTAGAAACTTCAGGGTTAGGACGAGTAAACTGGCCACTCACTCTTGCCCCAGGCCTCTGGCTCCACATCACCCCTCCTCATCCCCTCTCATCTTTGGGGCTCTGACACTCAGCACCTCCACCAAGACCACTTTGGTCCAGGGTAGCACAGCCAGGGGCAAATGCAAGGGGTTCCTCACTGATCTCCTTGCTTCTGTTCATTTCCTTTTCTTTTTTCTTTTTAATTTTTAAAATTAAAACAATTTTAAATTAAAAACATTTAAATACACAATAACAAATTTTACAGTTTTAACCATTTTAAAGTATATTCAAAGTCACAAGGCTGTGCAACCTTCACCTTTATCTACTTCCAGAACTTTTCATCACTCCGCATCAAAACCGTACTCAGGCCCCACTCCCTGCTCCCCCTGGGGGACACCAGCCCGCTCCCTGTCACTATGGAGACTACAGGTGGCATTTTGTGTCTGGCTTCTTCACTTAGCATAATGTTTTCGAGGTTCATCACAGTGTAGCATGTGTCAGTGCTACATTCCTTTTTGTAGTCAAGTAATATTCCATCGTATAAACAGATTACATTTGGTTTATCCATTATTAACTGACGGATATTGGGTTGTTTGTACCTTTAGGCTACCGGGAATACTGTTGCTCTGAATATTCTCATACAAGTTTTGTTTGAATATCTGTTTCAATTCTCTTGGGAATTGCTGGGTCATATAGTAACTCTGTGTTTCATGCTTTGAGGAACCAGACCCATTTCTTTTTGGTCCATCACAGACCCCATGAAGCTTAAAACTCTCTGTCTCTGACTCAACTCCCTGAAAGCTTCTCCTCTCACTCAGAATAAAACCCCAAACTCCACATGTGGCCCAAGGCGGTTTCAGCTGGCTCTCCCTGAACTCTCCCCATCCTGGACTCTCCCACTCCTTGCCCTCCAGCCACACTGCCTGCTCTCTGTCTCTTGAACACACCAACCTTCCCCCCGCCTCAGGGCCTTTGCCTATACTGTTCCTTCTGTTCAGTACATTCCTCAGACCTCAGTATCTGGGATACTGTCTCCAGATGTTTGACTGGTGGGTTGTCCTTGAAGACTAAAGCTGGCTGTCCCTTCCTGAGAGGCCCTCCTGGGCCATCCTGCCTAACGTCCCCTGGTCCACTCCTGGTCCCACCCCAGCCTTTCATTTTCTCCATAGCATGTATGGCCATCTGAGATTTGTTCTGTGGCTTCTGGGCTATTTCCCAGGCTTGTAGGTTCTTACTTGGCAGGTATTTGCTTAGTGACAGGATGTGAATGAGCATGGAATTAATAAGGTGGCAGTGAAACAGTCCCCTTGGGCCAGCCCCTAGAGGCCCTGCCCTCCCACCCTGTGCTCACCGGGAAGGCCAACTGGCAGATGGAGCCCATCCATGCCTGGCGATGCTGTGCAGCCAACAGGTGGCTTCGCTCCGTGGTGGTGAGCAGGAAGGCGCCAGTGTCCCTGGGGCAGCTCTCACCATCAGCCGGCAGCACAGACACACAGTCAGCCAGGCGGATGACCCGACGCTCACCCCGCCGGCCAGGACCTGCAGACCTGTCACTCGCTGGTCCTAGGCCACCATCCCGGACCTCCCAGCTCTCCAGCCGTGCCACACCTGATGGGCCTCCTGCATACAGCAGACCCCACACCTTCCGCCAGGATTTCTGGGGAAGATGAAGACTGAGGTGAAGACCTTCCCTGCAACTCAGCTCAGGACAAGCTGCTCAGCAAATGCTCCTGGCCACTCAGGCTGGCCTCTGCCTCTCCTGGGTCCTCAGGGCCTCAGAGAAGGAGGCCTTGCCACAGCCGGGTGGCCCCACAGGTGAAAGAGTCTATGCTTAGGGTCAGTCAGCCCTGGGTTCAAATCTGCCCTCATGCTTTCCTAATTGGTACCCCCATAAACACTAGTGTCTTTGTCTCACAAAAGGCCATGAAAAGGAGAGGTTGAGGCTTCTACTGGATTATGTATGTAAAGTATCTAGAGACTGGAACAGTCCACCTGACTCTGCTGTTATGCTGGTGCCCCTCCCCCTCCCCAAAAAAGTCACTTGGGCCACGGGACAAGGAAGGGTGGGAGGGAGACCTCACTTTCATGATGGCAAGGAAGGAAACATGCAAATAGTGTCAAGCAAAGGAAACAGACCGTTTATCTGCCTGGGCAGCAGCTGCAGCTGAGCTGCGGGGGGTGTAGGGCCTGCTGCCTGAGGAGAGGTGAACCCCACAATATGTCCCATGACAGGCTGGGAGGAGCCGAGCCTTCTTCTGCAGGGTGGGGCTCCTCCTCTGGGGGCTCCTCCGGTTCAGCCCCCAGCCCTTTGGAAGGTAGAAGGCTGTTGGATCAGCCAGCCTCCCACATTTGCCCTGCCCCAAGGTGTGGGTTCTTAGACCCTCCTGTCTCTTGGCTCCTCCATCTGTAAATGGGGCAGGGTCTCGCCAAGGCCCACTCAGGTTTTCAGCCCACCCTCTCAGGCTGAGGACAAGGCTCTGTCTCACCCTCCCACCTGGGTTGGATCCCCCACTACCAATCCCATCCCCATTCTCCCAGGTCCGGGTGGGCTATCTGAGGCTGGGACGTAGGCCCACCGATCGTCTTAGGCAGCTGCCTGGCAGCAGGTCCCCACCTTGCCGAACTTGACGTGCTGCTGGTAGAGAATGCCATCCTTGACGGGGGTCTCCAGAGGTTCCATGGCTGCAGTGGGCCCCAGGGCCACCACTCTGAGGGCCTGAGGAGACTGGTGACAGGCTGAGGGGAACTCACACTTCCCCTTCTGGCCACTTCCCCTCCCTCTGTCCAGAGAGGCAGCTGCATGGCTGGGGGAGGGGTGCCCCGTCTTCAGTGAAGGAGTTAGAATAGGGGCGGGGGCATCAGATATTTCTTCCTCAGGGATCCTGCTGGTCAAAGTGCCTGGCAGGGGCCTCGGACCACCTGAGGACAAACGACCCATGCCTGTGCCTGAGTCAGCTGGATGTGAGTGTCTGACCCCCAGGCTGGCTCCCTAGTAGTAGGCTCTGACTCCTCCTCTGTTCCCTTCAGGGGCCAGTTGTGCACCCTGGGGCCTCCTCTGACCCTTCCCCAGGACCTTCTCTAGCAAGGCCTGCAAACTCCTTGCTTTCCCATTCAGAACCCTGGCGAGTTGCCTGGTCTTTATCTCGTAATATTTCTAATATTCACTCTCTCTATCTTCACCGACTCCATCCACTGCCAGCCTGCATCTCTCTCCTTTGAACCACCGCCCTACCTGGACCCACCTCTCTCTCCCCTTTTTAAATGTCTCCTGGCTCCCCACTGCCCTAGGGTCCAGCCTGGGCTCCTCAGCCCAGCAGTCAAGGTGTCTTGTCCTGGGCTCACCTCTCCCCAGCCCAGCCCCTCCAGAGCCCCCCTCACCATTGTGCTCCTGTGGGTGCAGTCCTTTTTCTCTGGGAGGCCTCCCCTGACCACTCATGCTGTCTGAGAGAACAAAGACCCCAGCAGTGTGCCCTAGTCCTCACTGTGCAGCCCTGGCCACGTTGAGTGCAGGGGGAATGCCCCCACTGGGTCCCTGGAGAGTTCACATGCTCTTTTTTAAGCTTTGCTTCTTGTTGGGAACCTGTTTTTTTGTGCCTTGCCTTGCTGGAGGCATTGGGGCTGTGTGTGTGGATCTAATTCAAGGGACAGCCTCATGTCATTCATTCAATGCCACCCCTGAGAAGGATTGTGTAAACAGGCTGAGGAATATAGTTTGGGGGTCATATATGGGGTGTGTCGTTTCTTGGGCAGAAATCTTTTCCAAGGGCCTCCTGCACCCAGCGTTGTGTCCATTGTGGCCGGGCAGCCCCAAGCTCCAGCCCCACATACCAAGCCCTCTGCATTCTTACTGCCATTTCAATGATGAGGAAATTGAGGCTCAGAAACATTAAGTAACTTGCCCAAGGCCACACACCAAGTGACAAACATGGCTTGAGCAACTGTCGTCCTCCTGGGATAAGTACATGAAATGCTGGGCACAGAGAAGCCGCCATAAGTGCTGGTCCTCTGCCTACCCCTTGCCAGATATTAAAATCCTGGTCCACTTGCCAACACTGTCATGACTGCTGCCTATGTTTAAGTCTGATCTCTCTCTGCCACTCAACCTCTGAGCTGCCCAGCAGAGAGCTGGGCACAGAGCATGCCAGAGTGCTTATGGCCTGAGTGGCAGTCTTGTGGTACCTGCCGCTTCTCAGCAAATAGAGTGAAGAGTTCCCTACTGAAGGCCTGCATAGACTGCCAAGTGGGCAGGGGGCGTGAGGCAGGAAGTCACCTCCCAAGGGGCCCTGGGAAAAGCCCCGAGCTTCACACAACTGATAAGAAGAGCGGGGCTGGGGCAGGGATGGGAGATTATGACAGCCAGAGACCCAATGTGGTATACCAATGTAGTCCCTCTCAGTCACAAATTCAGCTGGCCCAAAGGGAGCCCCAGCTAGGCTGTTCCTTCTATAACTGAGGTGGTGGAGACGCCCAGGCTCCACCTCAGAAGGGCTCTGGAGGTCAGTGGGTGAGGGTCTGGAAGGCAGGGGGCAGACAAAGTGAAATGCAGAGGCAAGTCTGGGACGGAGACCACAGAGGCTTGTGCTTTAATGGCAGCTGAGGTAAAGGGGAGCAAAAATAGTAATTCTGGGGGTATAGGGAGCAGGCAGCCAGGCACGGCCTGGCCCAGCCCAGGCCAGCTGGGCCGAGGATGCTGATTTCTTGTCCAGGGAATGGTGTGTGGGGGGCGACCAGAACCCAGGGACTGAGGTCTCTCGGAGAGGAGGAGGGACAACAGGCAGCTAGAAGTCCATGGAGCTGTGAGCCAGGTAGTCTTTGCGGCCAATGTTGCTGACCTGCTTGGTTTGCATGGCCTCGAGTTTGGGGCAGTCGGTGATCCGATGGCCCAGGCCCCCGCAGAAGGCACAGCCGCGTTCTCCTGGGGACATGGGGCATAAGAGAAGAGGGGTCAGTATGGTGACAGGGCCAGACTCCATGCCCCAGGCCTCCCCGGTCCACTGATGTGCAGGGTGGACTTGTTTTACAGTATTCTGTCATGACCCGCTCTGGACTAGTGTCTCCTGCTCTACAGTCACCTCCGATGTCCAGCATGGACTCGTCCCCGCAATGTAGTACTTGCAGCACAGGTGGCACCTTCTGCTTGGCCTCCAACAGTAGGGCTTTGAGGTCCATCAGCACCGACTCATCTGTTGGGGCAGTGGGGATCATTAGGTCCAACCCCAGGCCTTGTGACCAGGACCTGGAGGACCTAGGAGACAGCTGAGGTGTCCCTGGTAATAGACTCACCACAGGCCTTGTTGATGAAAGTGGTGGCAATGCCTGTGTTTCCTGAGCGCCCAGTACGGCCAATTCTGTGCACTGCAGAGAGAGAGAACAGCCCCTGACCCACTGCCCAGGGCTGGGGCCTAGCCTGCACCCTGATCCGCAAAGCTCCTCCCAAGCTCCTACCATAGTTCTCGATCTCCTCAGGCATGTCGTAATTGATGACATGCTGGATGGCAGGGAAGTCCAGGCCCTTGGAGGCTACGTCTGTGGCCACTAGGACATCCTTCTTCCCCTCCCGGAATGCCTCGATGGCCTTGGTCCGTTCCTCCTGGTCTGGGGAGGGTCAGGCAGGAGCTGTTAGAGTGACAGCAGGAGTCTGGGGAGTAGTAACAAGCCAGCCAGGTAGGAAAACGGGTTAGGTGAGGGGCTGCAATGGCGGCAGGATCTATGCCTACACATGTGCTACCCTGACCTTTGCCACCATGAATGGCCACAGCCTCGACCCCCTTGAGCAGCAGATACTCGTGGATGGCATCCACATCTGCCTTCTTCTCTGCAAAGATGAGCACCTGTCAGGGAAGGCCAAATCTAGTCATGGGGGCTGCCTCTGCCCGGATGGCCCCAGCACTCCCCAGTGTGCCACCACTACTGCCCTCTCCCCTGGTCTGGGCTAGCCGGCTTGGCTGCACTCACGGGCGGCGGGGTCTTTTGCAGGCACTCGAGCAGGTACACCATCTTGGCCTCCTCCTTTACATATTCCACCTCCTGCCATCAGAGGGACCAGATCAGGTGATTCTGAGAGCAGGTTCACCAGTCATGGCCCTGCCACAGAGGTGAGACCCCCTAATCCTGGCTGGGAGGTGACCAGCAGCCTTTTGCCACCAAGAGCTGGGCACCTTAAGAATGTTTCCTGCTAAAGGCCAGGGCTTTGAATGAAAGCCTGGTGTTCCAATCAGCTGCAGGGGAGCCTTGCCAGACCCAGCCCTCACAGGTTGAGACTGTTCACCAGGGGGACTTGCCTACCTGGATGACATCCAGGCTGGCGGCCCCGGCGCGCCCCACGTTGATGGTGACAGGCTTTACCAGGGCACTCTTGGCAAAGTTCTGTATCTTCTTAGGCATGGTGGCACTGAAGAGTAGGGTCTGCCGTTGGCCCTGTAGAAGAGGAGGGCTGGGGCTGAGAGCATGTGGGAGCTGGGGAGGCTGGGACAGTGAGTGGGTACCACAGGCCCTCAGGGACCTCCACAGTTGATAAAGGGTGGCAGGAGTGCCCTAGCCAGGCACAGTTGGGCACCTTGAAGTAAGAGAAGATGGTGCGAATGTCACCCTCGAAGCCCATGTCGATCATGCGGTCAGCCTCGTCCAGAGCCAGGTAGCGACAGATGTCTAGGCTGACCATCTTCTTTTGCAGCAGATCCATGAGGCGCCCAGGGGTGGCAACCATCATGTGCACACCACTAGGGACCAAGGAGAGACCTTGAGATCAGGGCCACGTGCTCAGCCCAACAAGGCACTGTGCCTCGTTCTACCCTCTGGCCACCTTCCTGATTCTCCTCACGTGCTCTCTCCTCATCGCGCCCACCACCTTGCCCTATGTATAGCACATATCTCTCCTGGAGAGAGCTACAGTCATCTTGACCAATGATGGAGAGGTCTCCCTAGCCATGGGGTCACCTCTGCCTGGCAAACCCTTTTCCCTTCTTCCAGGTCACTCCTGTCATCCCCAGGAGGGGGCTATCCTGAACCTCCTGTGCTTCCCTAGCTCCCTCTGTAGGCCTTAATGGGCTCACTTTCTTGGTACGCTGAATTCAACTGTTCCGCATCTGCATCTTCCCTGAGGTTAAGAATGCCTATCAAACAGGCGCTGAGGCTACTCTGTGACCCCAGATGGCTAGTGGTATCTGCTGGGGACAGCACTGTGTGGCAAGGGCACAGGTCCAGCCCTGCCCCAGTGCCTCAGCCTCTTTGCTGGACTACACACTGAACTACCCTGGCCTTCGTGGACACCCTGGGTCCCCCATCTCTGTGCCTTCTGCCTGGAATGCCCTAACCCCGACCTCCCAAATGCCCCCATTCCATCTGCTGTGCCCCTACAGTCCCTTACCACATTCCTCTCTCTGTCCTACCCCAACCTATCTCCCCATTAGACTCAGGATCTTCAAGGGCTGGGCCTACAGGAAGCTTCTGCAAGGAACTGCGAAGTAGCTAAAACAAAGGGTCCTGCAGCTTATCTAGGGGCTTTGAGGGAGGCCCAAGGGAGGGGGTGCCTATGCTCACTGCCGGATGGTCTCCATCTGCTCTTTGACAGACATGCCCCCAATGCAGAGTGCGCAGCGCAGGAGTGGCGAGCTGTCTTCCTGTAGCAAACGACAGTAATACTCCAGGATGCTGTGAGTTTGCCGGGCCAGCTCTCGCTGCAGGTACAGAGGCAGGGGTTGGTACCAGAAGGCAGTCTCACTGGTGCCCTGCCCACCAGGCCAGCCTATCTTACCGAGGGGCAGATAATGAGTCCATAGGGCCCTTCGCGCTTAGAGAAAGGTAACCTCTTCTCCTGTTCCAGGCAGAACATGATAACCGGCAAAGTGAACACCAGCGTTTTGCCTGAACCCGTGAAAGCAATGCCTATCATGTCACGGCCAGATAGACTGTTGGGAGAGGACAGGTATGAGAGTCAGGTTCAGTAGAATATGGGGACTGCTTCTCCCAAAGGACATCTAGCGACTGCTCCTGCCGTCATTGCCCTCCTCAGGGCCCCCAGGTCCATACTTACATGGTAGGGATGCCCTGGATTTGAATTGGTGTTGGGTGGTGGATGCCTTTCTTCTTCAGGCCTCTCAGGATGGCTGTGGAAAACAACCCTGGCGTCATCCTTGTGTCTCACAGGTACTTTATCAGGCCCCACAGCCTATAAAATTGGCACCATCCTCCCCAAGTTACAGATGATGAAACTAAGGCCCAGAAGGAGACAGAGAGACTTGCTCAAGGCCCCTAGGCTACATGGAGGCACCTAGGCCTGTCTAAGGGCAACATCACTTATCCACTAAATGTCTCTAATGACAGAAACAGTGAATACATACAGCTGGGACACCTGAAAAAGGAGTCCAAAGAAAACTTTCCTCAATCCCTCCATCCCCACTGGCTTGCTGCAGCTGCTGAGCCCAGACACAACTTCGCAGATGTTTGACTGACAAAATGTGGTACCTCTCCCAGATCCCAGGTACCTGCAGGAAATTTCATTTCCTTGAAGCTTTTGATGGGTGGCGGGATACCATCTCCTTCCACCAGGATGTGGTACTTCTTCCGTACCCGCTCATGCCGCTCTTCGGACATGTTCAGGACATAACAGGGTGGTGTCCAACTGTGAGTGAGTAACCAGAGTCAAAAGAGTCCCTGGGCATAGCTGGCTTTGGGGTGTCTCTGCCAGTCTGAGTCACATCCCATCCCAAGTTAAGGGTGACCGCCTTTCCGCACACTGGAAAAAAGTACCTGGTTTTGATTGGATCGTCGTATGTGATTCCCTTGGCCATTTCCTTCACTGACATCAAGGCTGAGAAAAAAGGTGTGGCTCAGGGCTGGCTTTCGCTTCCCAGAGACCAGGCTCCTTGAGATATAACATGCCTGGGGGGCGGGGATCACAGCCCACCTCCTCCCTGCCCCGGCTACAACCATATACCTCGGCCCTCCGCCACACTCTCCAGGATCTTCTCCTCTTCCTTCAACTGCTTCTCCTTGGCAGACTCCTTGCGGGCTGAGAAAAACAAGCAGCCGATGTCACGGTGACACCAAAGCACGGTGTGCTGAGCTGAATCTCCTGCTGCTGCTGAGCCCACCTTCCGCCTTCTCTTTGAGGTGCTGGTGCTGATCCAGGAGGCTCACGTTGGACTGAGGGCCCAGCGGGATGTCGTCCTCATCTCCCCGGGGCTCACTGCCGCTGTCCTGCTGCTCCTCCTCTGCTGCTCCCTTGCGCCTGCGCTGCAGCAGCTTCTGGAGCTGAGGTTCCACCAGCGCCCCTCAGAGCCAAGCCCAACACAGAGTGGGGCATTGGGCCCAGAGGCTGCGTCAGGATTCTGGCTTTTGGAAGAGGGTCCTGTGCCCCAGGGGCCGAGCTGCCCTACCTCTCAGACCAGGCCGCCAGGCCCTCGTGTGCCTGGAAGCCACGCTCCCGTGTACTGATGCCTCAACCCGCAGATCAGGGTCACCCCTCATCCCACTGAAAATCCCCTATCACCGCCCTCATTTCTTCCTCGATCCGGGGCCCTCACCAGCAGCTGTCGGCGCTGCCGCAACGGTACGTAGGGCACGTAGTCCTCGTCTTCATCCTCCGCCTCGGAGCGGCTTCCTACAGCAGTCGCCTCGTCAGTGCGAGCCCGCTGCAGAGACACACAAGTCATGCCCAGATTCCCCCGCCTTCATGCGGTTCGCCAACCGCAAAGACTCCAACCTCGCTCCCACCTTCCGCTCGGGTTCCGACTCCTCCATCCTTTGGTGCACGCATGCGCGCCACGGCAAAACCCCGCCTCACCTGAGTGAAATCCAATCAAATGTGAAGAAGCGGGCGTCGGCGCCTAGCAACGAAATCCGAGTGCCGGATCGCGCCGAGGGACAAACTTTCTCCTAAGCCGCGGTCCTGCGGTTTGGTGTCAATGCCGCGTGTGGTTATGCAGCTGTTGCCGGGGCTAAGGGCGAAAGCGGCGGGCAAAGTATTGTGGAATGCTGGAGGATTTGGAACATGAGCTAAGGGCTCAAACCAAACCTGGGTGGCGCGAGAGGCGCCCCAAACGAAGACCGAGGATCCCGCCAGCTGCCCAGAGCATGACACCAGCATGACGTAACCCGGCACGCCCCGCCTGCGGACATTGCGCCCTCTGGTGGTCGGAAAGCTCAGGGACAGGGCCGGCTGTGACCCCGCCTCGCCGCGGCGGAAGGGTGAAGCTGGCGAAATAAATGACTCAGGCACTGCTATTCTGACTGGTGTCCTCACCTGTGTGACAACACCTATGTTACCAGGTGAGGGGTAAATAAAATACTGATGACGGTGGTTTTTAACTGAGGACCTATACATACGTGTGTAACCGATTGTTATTGCAAATGCTATAATAGAGCTCAGAGTGCCTCGCTGCCTGGGGAACCACAGGTGGCTTCGGGGAGACACTGGATCTGAGCTTCCAGGGAAGTGTGGAATCTCAGAGCAGGGAGTGGAAAGTTAGAAAGACTTCTTGATAGAGGGTCCTGCAGGAATGGTCTGGCCACATGCAAGTGCACAGGTTCCCAAGTAATAAAGAGATCACTTGACCCATGTAGTGTGGGGGTAGCCAGAGCAAGGGTCGGTGAGGTAGATTGGGCCGACTATGCAGAGCCTTGTCAGAGAGGAGTGATGGGTCAGTGCTATCCTTTCCTTTTTCATATGTTTAATATGTGTGCTGGGTACTGTGTAGTGCTGAAGTAGATAAAGATGAGCAAGACACAAACCTGGTTTGTGAGATTACAGGCTAGTTGAGGAGCCAGAAATATAGATAACCAGTCTTGAGGTTAAAGAGAAGTATCAAAAGACAGACAAGACAAGGCAGCACTACCTGATCCTCTTGGTAAAAGTGGCCTCTCAACTGAGATGTGAAGGATAAGCAGGAATTCATGAAGGAACCATAATCTGGGATTAGAGAAGTCCGGAGTCGGGAGAGAGGGTGCCAAGCCTAGCTAGAAACTGAGTTGTAGGTGTGTTTGGAGTCAATGCTGGAAGCAGGGGCCAGGCAGGGAGGGCCCTGAATGCCACTCACAGAAGTCCTCTGTAAAAAAAAGAGGCTGCTTGAATCAGACCTGCAATTTCGGAATGATGCAGAATTTTAGATAGCTGTGCCAATTCAGCTGCAGGGCAGCTGCCTGGAGCAAGAGTTGGAGGGTGAGAGGAACACAGGTAATAAATACACAGACAAAGGGTCCACAGGAGAGTGTCCACAGTTCCTTGGGGACTGTGAAAAGACAGGCTCCAGGATTCATGAGCCTGTGGGCAATACTATTTCACTTTGGAAGAGGAAGCTGGCATTGACTGCCAGCCCATGGTGTGGAGGAGAGGGAGGAGGGAGCGTTTTCTGATCCTGCTCTTAGTGACTGGCCATTGCCTCCATTGCTCTCCACATGAGCTCAAGTTAAGAGTTGGTTTTAGTGGAGAAAACAACATTGGGGGCAAGGAGTTGGGCCAAACATGCATGTGAGGCATTTTTAGAAACCTATCATATTAAAATCTGAATTTGCAAAGCAGGGAGGAGGAAGAGGTAGTTTGCTTTACTTTATGGAAGGGTTATCCTCTTAACTCTCAAGTACTTAAGCTATATGTCTCATCCCCATTGGAAAGTCAGATCCAATTTATAAAAACTGCATTTACCCGCCACATCCCCTGACAACCCCACACACCCAGGCTACAGGTGCACAGTCCATAAAGGCCTCAAGCGTTCCCCAGGCCCCTTCTCATGTCAGCTGCCCAGAGACCAAGTCCCATCCCTCCAACTCACCCCTCTTGCAGAAAGGGAAACAGACATAGCATGGGGAAGGGGCTGTTTCCCTCCCAACAAGAGAAGGGGCAGAGGTTACAGTTATCCAGGCCTGTGCTCTAACCCTAGTCAGCTAGACCCGGCTCCCTCAAATCACTTTTCTATCTTAGCTTTAGTTTCCTTGACTATAAAATGTGACCAGTCCCACATAGAACTGGTGCAAAAATTAAGAGGAAACAATGACAAACCATTAACAGGCAGTATGTGTTTAACAAGGTTGGTGACTAAGGTAGACCCCATGCTTCTGATTACATCGCTCACCTGGCTCTGACCCAGCCCACACAGGAAACACACCAACTCTGTGTCCAAATGTTGCTTTATCTTTCGCAGGAAAGATCTTCACAGTATCAAAAGTAAAGAATTAAAAAAAATAAAACAAAAACAAAAAACCAAACAGAGAGCAGTGTTGGGCCAGCAGTACCGTCATCCCCCGGCCCACAGGCCAGCCCAGCCCCCAGGCTCTGAGTGTGGAGGCTGTGTAGCACCAGGAGGCGGCTCTGTGGCGGTCCTGAGGGGCCCCAGATCGGCATGGCATCCATTCAGCTTTTGGTCAGTCTGGGATGGTGGGGAGCTGGGAGGGTCTTCGGCAGGTGAGTAGGGATGTGGAGGAGGAAGAAACTGTAGACCTTCAGCTGGCAGTTGGACACCCTGAAGAAGCTGGACCTGGCAGCGGCTGAGAAAACAGAAGAGCATGGCCATGTAGTGAGCACGGCCTTTCCAGGCCGCCTCTGGGTCTCCCTGCGTCTCTGTGAAGGTAGGAATGGCAGTCTTCTACTTTTGCTCCCTGTACCAAAAACACTGAACAGACTTCCTCCATCACCTCCAACAGACACTTCCAGGAAACAGCTCAGTCCCGTTCTTCTGTCAATAGCATCCTAGATCTCAAGGCATGTGGGACCATCCCTAAGAAGCTCACGGGCCCCTGAAGCAGTATATCCTCGCCCAGGCCAGGGTAGAGGAAGAGCCCAGCCTCTGGCACATGTCTTCCTGGTGACAGGCTGTGGAGAGGCCAGCCCTGTGCTCAGACTCTTGCCTCAGGCTCCAGGTACACAGCCCAGGCTGGATCTGTTTTCTCTCATACTTGGGACTCTGCTCTTAGGACAGTAGAGAAGATCAAGGAGCTTTGGGGAGGGAACAGCTCTGTCTTGGGAAAGAGGTCAGCCAAAGAGTGGCAGGAGATGGCTGATGATGGGGGCACTAGGCCTGCAGGAGGTGCACCTCTTTTTCCCTCACAAGGGGCAGCAGATGGAAGTGCTTGGGGTACCCAATCATTCCTGGTTCTGGTGGAGGTGGAGAAGAGAAGCAGGAGGGCACCTTGACCCAAGCGGCAGCTCTTGGGAGTGTGGACATCTCAGTTTGGCAAAGGATCAGGGAGCCCAGTCCCTCAGAGCAATGGGTTTGAGGCAAGTCTGAAGCCATTTCTGACTCTGGTGACAGGCAGCCCAGCCCCGAAGGCTGCCCCTAAGGAGCTAAGGCCAGCATCAAAGGAGGGGAATCCTGACCCAGAGGGACAAGGAGGCTTAGCCAAGGATCCAGGAAGTCTGCCTCCTTGGCCCAGGGACGGGGAGGGGGACAGTGAGGACACCCTCTTGGGGTGTCTGTGGATTCAGCTTCCCCTCCCCTCACTGGTCCCAGCCTGCCCTAGGGCAGCTATGTGGTTGCCAGAAAGGCCTAATCCCAGAGACACAGGGCTGAGATCTGGCACTGCACCTCCATCGGGCCCCAAGCCCAGCACCAGAGCTGGCCTGCCAGCTACCCTTCTTCCTCTAAACTATGGTCCTCAGCCCATCGCCTTCTCCATTCTTCTGTTCTCAGTCCAGATCATCATCTGACAGGTCAACATTTCAGACAACACGACCTGTGCAGGTGGCCAGAAGGGGAGGTCACAGCTGAGCTAGTGGCCAGGCCTCTTCTTCCAGGAGGCAGCACCGCTATTAATTTCCTTATGGAACCTACTCTGTTTAAGGAGAGTGTCCCCCAACTCTGCTAGGCCTAAGTGACCTCCAAGGCCTTGGTCTAGCTTGGCTGTCCATGCTGATCCCTTGGGGCTGGCCCTGGTAGCCTGCATGGAGGAGCCAGGCTCAGCAGAGATTCAACCCTGAGGCTGATAATGTCAGGGGTGTGGGTAGCCCTCTGGGCCCACTGGGCACTTGGGGAGGCAGCTGGCAGCGGAAGTGGAGGTCTGATGGAGATACCCCAGGGGGTGGCAATGCAGGAAGGGGCAAGAGGGCCTGGCCCAGAGGGGAGAGATAAACGGCCTAGGGATAAATGGCCTCAGGAAGAGAAGAGATGGGGCTTGTTCCTTCGGACAGCATAGCCTGCTGGGTTGTCACTGTGGAGATGTGACAGGGGGCAGGGCTGCCAAGCCTCAGCTCAACTCTCTGTGCCTCAGAGCACAGGAGCTAGCAGGGAGGGAATGAACATAACACTTGGGGGTCTCTATACCTCACTGAGCTGTGCTGGGAGCAGTTTTCTTGAGGCTGAAATTGGTCCAATTCACAGCAACTTTCTGACGTGTTTGCTTTGCAGAATCCAAACAGAACCTGTCAGGTTTGGGGAAGGGAGTACACAGGAGAAGCACAATCAGAGATCCCTCTTGCTTCCTGGACCCCTCTCTTAGACCCATGTGTCCTGATCACTAAAGAAGCCAAGTCAACTGTGCGCAACCCCACCAGCTCCTGGGTGTTGGGGTCTAGCAGGTAAGGGAGCTGTGCTAGCTGCAGGGGCTTCCTGGCCAAAGCACTCACAAGCCCAGGGGTGTATGAAGACAGTGACACTGTCTTGAGATTCAGCCCCCTTCTTACCCTGTATTTCCCTCTAGCTATACTGGGCCTCCTACTGTTCCAAGAACGATATGTTTCTTTCACCCTTACACCTTTATACGTGCCGACTCCACTGTCATGAATACCCTTTTGGTTTTGCCTGGCCCACTCATTCTTAATCAAATTTTGGCCTGGTCACCAACTCTTCTGGGAGGGCTTCCCGAGCTGCCCCCACTCCAGCTTGCTCTGCAGTCCCTTTTCCAGGCCCAGCCCTCACTCCCTTAATAGTACTAGACTGGAAGTCTATGCTCTCTCCTCATCTGGACTGTTTGGTTTGCTTCTGCCCCAGAGCTCAGTCCAGGCAGAGCAGAGGAAGTACAAGTGAATAAACAAAGTGAATGAGGCTAGAAAAAGCCCTGGTTCTTGGGATCTGATATGCCTCCTTCGCCTGGTCCCTTGCACCCTCCCACATGCCCTGAACTGCCAAGTGACTCCCTAAGTTCCAGCAGATAGGCTGGTGGGAGAGCATGGGGGGCTGGAAAGGCCCTCCCTTCAAGGGTGCAGGGCTGAGAGGCCGTCCTGAGCTTGGATGTGGACAGAGCGGCAGGCGCCCACACCTACCTCTTGAAGTACTCCACCTCTCGGTCAGTCTCATCCATCTCCACCCCATCCATGTCCTTGGGCAGGAACACATCGTCTAGGAAGACATAGCCAGTGGGGCTCAGTGCCCACAGCCAGGCCTCTGGGTCAGTGCTGCCCATACACAAGGACTGCCCTCCACCCCATGGCTTGGCTGGGGGCAGGGGTCAGCCACTGTTCCTGGCGCACTCACCCAAGGAAGAGGCCGACTTCTCCTGCTTGTTGCGGCTGCGGCGGTTGCGGCCCTTGGCCTGTGGCAAGCTCTGTGGCCTTGCTGGGCCCGGGGGCTGCACAGACTCCTGCTCTGGAGGCCGTGCCTTGGCCTCACCTGGCCAGTTTCGCCATGAGCTGCCCTTCTCCTTGTCAGCTTTGGGGCTGCCTGCCCAGCCTGGTCCTGGCCGGCTCCCCCGGCTTCCTTCTCCGAACTCCGCACAGCTGCCCACTTTGGGAGGCTCTGGGGCCTTGCCTGGTTGCTTGGGGCTGGGGTTCTGGCCCTTGGCACTGGGAGCCTCCAGGCTGGCCAAGGGTCGGGGAGCTGGGCTTGCCTCACTCTTCTTGGCCTGAGTGCCCTGTCTTTTGCCTTTCCGTGGCTTCCCACCTGAGGCCACAGACTCAGGCAGCTCCTCCTTGCAACTGGGGACTTCCTTTGGGCTTGGTTCCTCAGAGGTGGTGTTGCCTGGCTTGGGTGTCTTGACCCAGATCACCCGGGACAGGTTGGGTACAGTGTTGAGTCTCCTCACTAACCCATTCTCGGGGTTAATACCGGGAGGGGGGCCCCTCACCTCTGTCCACGGTGGGTGGGGGCCTTGCATTTCTGCCCATGGTGGGGCTGGCTCGCCTGGAGCTTGTAACGTGTGGTTCTGAGGGGAGCCCAAAGTCAAAGGGGACAGGTCCAGGTTGATGTCAGGGTGATGCTCTGAGGGGCCATTGAGGTTCGAGGGGGGTAGGCTCTGGGGATCTGGCTCAACAGCCCCTTCACTGGAGAAGCCATTGCCGTCGGTGCTGAGCTCATGCGCACTGAAGCCAGTGCGGAGGGAGTCCTTGACGGTGTTCTTGATCTCGCGTAGACGGCCACTCAGGAAACTGCTGACCCGATCCAGTTCCCGGTCCGGCCACTCCAAAAGCTTCTCCCTGGTGGGCCTCTGCTCCCGGTTTCCGGAAACACCACGATTCACCTGCTTTAGAGCTTCTGCTGCCAACTGGGCCTTCTCCTTTTCCTGCAATACAAGAGGCAGTTTCAGTAGGGGCCTGGCAGCTGCCAGGTACACTGTGACACCTGACATACCAGTGTGGGGCCCAGCTTTGCCATAACTGGTTGGAGGCAGGGCCTCAGGATCCTGGCCTGCTTGCCCACTCTGCGAGAGTAAAGAGTAAGTGCAACTAGGCAGGTACGTGTCCTGGGGGTAGAGGCAGTTACACCCAGAGGGCAGGGTTTTTCCAGCGTGGTTGTGCAGAGCCCTAGTGTCAATACTAGGGCCTAAGAAGGTGAGCTCAAGATTCAATAGCTAATTGAATCTTGCCTCCCAGGCTTCAGCTTGACCAATCCAGCTATTTGCTGAGTCTCAGTGGACTCATTTGCAAAATAGGGACAACACTGGAGTGAAGATCAAAGCAAGGATGCACGTGAGAAAGACGGCTGCTATGGAGTCCTTCTCTCCAATTCTATAGGTAGCAGGGGAAAAGCCGTGTCATCATGCAGGTCATTTAGGAAAGAAGATGTGGAGCTGAGACTTCTCTGGGTGGCTAGGAATGTATGTGCTCTCCTGATGCTATGTATGGGTGCCACTGAAGAGGGCGAAGTTCCCATAGGCATGCCACTCATTTCTCAACTGGCCTCAAGTAATTAAGGGCATGGCTAAACTGTGCCCCACAGCATACAATGACAGCCACATGGGCCCCCAGGCAAGATGTAAAAGCAGCCCCTTGGCCCATGTGAGGCCAGGCCCTGCCAATCCATGTGGACAGAGCCAGAACTGGAGAACGAAAAGGAAAGTCTGTGGGCTGAGCCACCCATCCCTCTGCCCAACCTCAAGCAACAACAGGCCAAGAAGGCCTTTTGAGGAGACAGGAGACAGATGTCAAAGGCCTATAGGAAGGAGGCAGTGATGTGGTGCCAGGGGCTAGATGACTTCCGCCATCTCACATATTTCTTAGCTGACTTGAGGATGAAGGGGGAGAAACAGAAAAAGGAAAGTGGGGAGAGAAAAAGAGGACTTGCCACCACCTCAGAGTCAATTTAAAGCGGGCATGTGTTTAATTTATTCTCGTCTTTTTTGAACACTGGCTCCACAACTGACTAGGACCTTGGACATATCACTTATTCTCTGAACCTTACTATCTTCATTGGTAAATTTGGGAGAAAAATGACCTACCTATATACCTCATAGGGTTGCTATAAGGACATCTGAGAAGGTGGACCCTTTTCCCCAGGCGCAAGTAAGGCTAGGCCTTGGCACTGTGGTGCTCAGGTGAGGGAGCAGCTGTCTGGATCAGTGTTTCCAGCTGTGTGCCATGAAATTCAAGGTCATGGGCCGAGCTCTGAGGCCGTGGGGATGCACAAAGGACTAGAAGGCCCTTCTCTTCACTCCTCCCCTGCACCAGAATGGCTTTGCTTTGTTAGAAACTGAGTTCCATGGAAGACTTCATTTGCAGAAGAGAATTCTGCTGCTATACAAAGATGTCTGAAAACTGCTGGTGCAGAGGGAGTGATGTGGAACCACATACAATTTGGTAGTGAAAAAGGGAAAGCACAGAAACACACATTTTCTTCGGGTACTATGAGCTTGGTATTCCCATATGTTGTTTCATTTAATCCTCACAACTGCACTTGCTGCATCATTATTCTCAATTTACAGATGAGGACTCAACTTCAGAAAGAAAAAGGAAGTGGCCCAAGGTTACACGGCTAGTAAGTGGCAGAGTTGGGATAGCACACCAGCTGTAATCTGCAGAAGTTCCTATGTTTTTCAATCCTGTCTGACAATCACTTCTTGAACACCGACTCTGAGGAACTGGGCTGGGTGCTGAGAGCTCAGCAGTGCAGGAGACAGTCTGTGCTCGCTGACTCGAGTCTGCTGGGCAGAGAGACGTGCAAACAGACTGTTTAATTGTGAGTGACAGTGACAAGAGCTACAGAGAAGCAAGCACAAGGTGCTCTGGGAACCCAGACTCAGCTATCAGGGAATGCTTCCCAGCAGCGGTTATCTCCCTGGGTATGACAGCTGAGGGGGACTATCCTGGTGAAAGAGAGACAAGCACTTTCCAGACAGAAGGAAGAACAAGTGGAAAGGCTGGAAAATGGTAAAGCACAATATCTTCAGGGGATGCAAACCACTCAGAGATACTGCTGGAGCCAAGATTTCTTTTGGGGAGGTGGGGTGGGTAGGAAGGCCAGAAGGGACAGACTTAGAGGAAGGTGGTGAGCTAAGTAGGGGCTGGGTCCTGAAGAGCCCTGCAGGCTGTGCTCCAGGCTGGGTTCGATCCTGAGGGCAACGTGCAGCCACTGAAGGCTTTTAAAGTAGTGGCTGTTAGGTGGAGAGAAGTGGACGGTTTGAGCTATTTGGGGAGGTAGGGTGGCCAGGACTCTTGGTGATGGGCGGGGACAGAGATCAAGATGAGTCACACAAACAACCCAACACCCACTATGCTGCTCTAGCAGCCAGTTGGAATGAGCGCTCACTCTGCCAAACCTTTCCGTGCATCACTCCATTTCATTCTCGCAACAATCTGAGTTATGTTCTACTGTTGTTCTCATTTTATGGATGAAGAAACTGAGGCTTGGAGGTTAAGTGATTGGCCCAAGGTCATACAGCAAGTGTGGCAGAGCCAGGTTTCAAACTGAAGTCCAAATCCAAGGCCCGCTGCTCCCAATCACCGTGACGCATTCCTCCCAGGGTGACACCTGGGTTCTGGTTCAGACAACTGGGCAGATGGTGGTGCATCCAACAAGACAGACAATGGAGGAGGAGGAGCAGGCCTCTTTGGAGAAAGACAACAAGCTCAGTTTTGGATGTGCTGAGTTTGAGTACCTGTGGGACGTTGTGAGGAGGTGCCCAGTGGCAGTAGCGGACATCAGTGTGACGTGCGTGGAGGAAACAGGTGGCTATACCCAACCAAGAGGCAACAGTATTTAGATGGCTCCTCTTGCCCAGGAAGATGTCCTCAGAGGGGAGAGAAGGGAGTAGAAGAAGAGGTACTCACGAAGGAGAACAGAGAAGAGGGCAGAGAGGAAGGTGAGCGATGGGCAGACCCCAGCACTCTCACTGTCCTTTCTCTGTCCCCCGACTGAAGGCGGAGGAGCCAAAGTACACAATGTCTGGAAAGGAGAACAAACACAAATGGGAGATGTCACCTAGTGGATAAAGATGACCCAGGAGAATAGGATTTGAATTTAGCAACAAAGAAGTCACACGTGGCTCTCAGCAGGGGTAGGGGGTGGTGGTGTAGTGAGTGTACAGAAGTAAAGACAGTGAAGCAGAGAAAAAACAGTATTCAAGAATTTGGCTGTGATGAGAGGAAAGAGACAGGGGCGGGGCGGGGGTGAGACGGAGGGTTGTATGCTCAATGAAACAGTTTGCTTTCAAAAAAGAGAGTACCAGGCAATGGAATGCTGATGGGAAACAGCCCAGGGGAGAGGCTGCAGCCACAGGACAGGAAGTCAGTGTGAGCCTAAAGAGGTGGCAAAGGACTGCGTGGGCCTTAGGAATGGGGTAACTCATCCCTCATGACAAGAAAGTCTGCAGGTGGGGTGGTTGAGAGAGTGCTTGTCCACTGGCCTTGCTGGGACAGGAAGTAAGGTTATTTGCCAAAAAATGAGGTGGGGGTGGGGTGGGAAAACCTGGAAGTTAGAGGCCTGACAAAGGGGCTGTGATGAAGTGGTGACGAGCAAGAACACTAGGGAGCTGCAGAGGCCTGCAAGGCAGTGTGGGGGCTCAGCAAGCAGGAGACCCCATGGCCTGGTGCCACAGCGTCAGTGCTTTCCTTGGGTCTGGGGGGAGGGGCAGGTTGGGGTCAAACCCAGGGCTGCAGCTTTTCTGAGTAGATGTTAACGGAAGGGCAATGGGGCAAGGAATTGAGAGTATTGGTAAGAAGTGAGTAAATGATGATCAAGGGATCTCACCTGGCCCGGGAAGAGGAGAAAGAGGCAGGTGACAGTCCTCAGTGGATAAAGAGGAGTGGCCAGAAGGTTGCAGATGAGAGAGCCAACAGTCAGTTCCAAAGCAGCAGGGGTTAGCCCGTGAAGGGGAGAGTCACGGTCTGGGAACGTATAAGGGAGCAGAAGAAGGACACTCGCCTTTTTTCATCTCCCGAGGTGGGAGAGAACCAACAGTCTCCACTGTGTGACTCCCAGGGAAAGCTTGGGTTTTGGTGAACAGCCAGATTGCAAGGTCAGGTGGAGGGACACAGGGGGAGGCTGATGTAGAAACAGGTAATGACCATGATCACCTCTCATATGATGTTGCGACTGCCTGCTTCCTCTGTATCCTCTAGACTGGGCTGGGTAGACAGCAGCTGGGGAGCAAGTTTCTGAATGAGTGAGCAGTGTGTGAAATGGCAGACTAGAGAGATGTAAAAGGTGTATCAGGAGTGTAGGGGGAGAAGTTACCCGAGCAAGTCTGCAAAAAAGGAGACATCTAAGCTGAGCTCAGAGGAAATTATCAGGAGGAAAAAGGGGTGGGGGTAGGGTGG